AGGCATTAAAGATGGCATGAGTAATCATTCTCTGCGACCATAAAGTTTTATTTCTGATCTTTCGATGCTGGGTGAACTTGAATTATTTGTATTTCTTTCTAGGCAAGCATGGATGTATGGCAAAGGAAATGATGCAAAGATCGATTTTCTGGAGGTTTAAGTTTATATTACCCTAGCAGCCTCAGTAATGCATCTCATAATAAGTTTACTTTGTAGCAACAATACTCTTGTATTTAGCCCCTCTAGTGTGTTACAGAAGATAAGGCAGGGGGGGGGGGGGGGGTTAATGCTACTTTATGTAAGTGTATCATGGTCTAAAATATTTGAAAATATTGCTTTAGTTTGACTCAAGGACAGATTGTTGTTATGTGCCTTTAAACCATGATAATCACAGTCATGCAATTAATAAAAGCTTATATCCTACGTAAAATTCCTCAATTTTGATAGAGTGATTATCATTGGGCTGTATCACTAAATGTAATCATACATGCAAACAGAACATCGATATTTGCATTAATATTGCCAGAAACCCAAGAAGCAAATGTTCTATTGGCTGCCAATGACGTCAGTTACCATAGCGCAGTTAAACATCTCACTTTCAGTCTTCGAATGAACGGATAAAAACGTTGAATTAGCCTAACGCAGATAAAGGATATTCGAATAAATACGTTATAACATTTTAGCATTTGACAATGACAAAATCAAGATGTAGTTTTCTATGACAGGAATGTAACATTTCTAAAAAATGCTTGTGGATTTTATGAACAAATAAAACGTGTATAAACGTGGAATAATAGCATTGTACAAACACTTGAGACGATTTGATCTAGTCTGAGCTTGGGGAAGAATTTTCAGGTAAGTGGACGCATCGAATCAGCAAAACGAGACCATGTTGCTGCTTTTTCTTTTCATTTAGTATATCTAGTTAGTGTATCCATCCCGCAATATTGCCGCAAAGTGATATTTGCATTCATTTGAAGATTATATTAAAATGACGAATTGACGAATTGAAGTTGACCCGATCAAGCAAGACGAGATATTACCAATCAAAAGGAATCATTACTCAACCTTTGAAAGTTTTGGAAGTATCAGTTTATTGTTTTTTTTGTGTCCGACTTATTTTTATAATGTTGCTCATTGATGCCCTAACCTACGCTACAGTCGAAACTGAAAGGGAACGGATTGTTGAAGCTGCCGTGGATTTTCAATCTGACCAAATTCGTGCAATATCACTTTGCAAATGATATGTGGTTAAACCATGCCAAGTTTCGTAGGCCATGCGATGGTTGCTTATTATAACCGTTTAATTTTTTTAATGTTAAGCGGCCTAATATCATTTTTTCTAATTGGACGGTGTCTGGTGGCGAGTGTCCAAATGCTAGCAGCTCTCTTTCAAGACTTTTAAGAAGCTTTAAATAAAAGTTCTACCGAGAAGGGCATTGTCCTTCTCGGCACGATGATCAATAATTTTGATTGAATAGTTTTAAATTGTAGATTACATTGGCACCTGGTGGTTATTTTAAGCATACGGCCTGAGTACAGTTTTCCATTTCCAATTGCATTTGCATAAGCCTTTCAAGTGATATCATTGAAGATTTCCATATTTCCAACACTTTCTAGGACCGACCCCCGGGGCAAACCTTGTACCGAAACAAATGCCATCTGCCAAAAATAATACTGGCTTCGTAGCCCACATCAAACAAACGGTAATGTTGGTAAAGAAATCACCTTAGTGATAACAAAGGTGAACAATTTTAACGTTACTATAGCAACCATAAGATGTTCCATTTTGGTTTCGTGAATGATCTTCATTTGCGTACATATCGAAATGTAATAAACTAAAACTACAAAGAAAGTTTCGAGTAGTTGAGAAACTTTGGAAACTGGACCAGACCATGTGACTTAGGTCTTAGATAAGCCAGATAAGCGTGAAGTTTTCCGGAGATCGCCAACCATGTTTTTGCCCAAAGTGGTGTTATCACATTCCGTATTCTCTCTGTCTAAATAGATTTTCAACAGACTCCCGTAATGTCGACACCCTGCGCAGCGAAACGGTTTGTTTATTTTTGATTTCGATGCCCGTACATACACTTTTTCATGAGAAAGCTATGCCAGTTTTGTACTTACACTTTTTACCAGTGTCGGTAAATCGAGATAAGGCCGCATAAGACTCAAGAGCCTACGAAACGAGAGATAAGAGGTTCCAAAACTAATGGAGTAATTTGTTTGATGTTTTGTATGAATTATAACTTATCGATCAGGTAAAATACTCTAGAAATAACATAGAAATCCAGGTGATTTATTGGGCCCCTACTTTAACTTATTGCCATCGACATAAATAACTGATAATCACTCATTTGTCACGCGAAATTTACTACCTCAAGTCACTATCGTCATTCTCGCCCTCCCACGAGGAAAACATAATCAATTAAGCTACTCGCGCGGTATTGATAAAATAATAGTTGTGTAGTAGTCTTTCGAGGTAAAGGACATTGCAAATAATGAAGAAGCATTTCACCTTCCCAAAGAGAATGGTTCTCTGGGGCCTTAATTAAAGTTATACTACAGTGCTGGTAGAATGCTTTTGAGCCTGCTTTCTTAAGGTGGGATCGGACTAGCGGGATAATTGTGAACTTGTTTGCTAAGGTGGGCCTTGCGGAACAATATTGAACTTGCTTGTTAAGGTGGGCCTAGTAAGATAATTTTGAACTTGTATGTTAGGTTGGCCTAGTAAATAATTTTGAACTTGTTTGTTATGATCGGCTTAGTAGGATAATTTTGAACTTGCTTGATAAGGTGGGCCTAGCTGGATAATTTTTGTTAAAGTGGGCCTGGGCAATTTTCAGACTTGTTTGGTAAGGTAGGTCTTACAGTATAATTTTGAAATTGTTCGTTAAGGTGGGCCTAAGAAGGTAATTTTGATTTTTTTGTTAAGGTGGGCCTAGTTAGGTAATTTTGAACTTATTTGTTAAGGTGGGCCTAGTAAGGTAATTTTGAACTTGTCTGTTAAGGTGGGCCTAGACAAGTAATTTTGAACTTGTTTGTTAAGGTGGGCCTAGACAAGTAATTTTGAACTTGTTTGTTAAGGTGGGCCTAGACAAGTAATTTTGAACTTGTTTGTTAAGGATTATTTTTTAAACTATTTTGCTAAAATTGTGACCTTAAAGTGAATAACTCTATCATTGTAAGGAAGACCTACAGTAGTGTATCAAGCTCAGTGTGATGACTTTTTGATCTGTCTTTTAAGGTGGGTCTAATGTGACAGCATCACATCAGGCAAAACCAATAAAATATTTGGTCATTAAGCCAGACTACTTATTCTCCGCAGCCTATCCATGGGATAGAGGTCCATGGCCTTTCTGAGATGCATGAACTCATTTATTGAATGAATGTCTAAAAGTTATTGTTGAAAATTACCGTTATGATAGATTGCCTCTCAGTGGTAGATATCAGTTCAATATATTATATTTGTAGCGGTTGGTGAACTTAGAAAATGAAGAGTAGCAATTAGCTCTGTTTCTCCCTTAGAGATCGATTAATATAAATAAGATATCAAGTAAACATACTTGTCTGTTATAAAGATGCCTCTAAAAATGTAGGTTTTCACCAATTTGCAACTCATATCAATTCTCTCTGGGTGTGCATATCAGTGAATAGGAGGGGGAGGGGAGGTTAAACACCCCTGACTACCCAGGCCCGTAGCCAGGATTTGCCAAGGGGGGGGGGGGTCACTTTTTAAAAATTCCAGGGGGGTTCACTTTTGACAATTTTGGTACAAAAATGGCCAAAATCACTTAAAAACTTAAAAAGTGCTCAGAATGATGAAAAACTGCATGATTTTGAAAGAATTTTTGGCCCAGGGGGGGGGGGCTACCCCTGGCTATGGGCCTGCTACTGCTACGTTGTGCAAGACTAGTTTAAAATGTGAACAATTCTGTAATAGAACGACTGCTTTAATGACAGTTAGTTTTATGCTTCAATTGCATAAACCCAAAACTGCCTTCAAGGTAGATTTCACACTGAAATAATTTTCAATAGTTTGAAATGAATCAAGCTGAATTTGCTTGACATTTATATATTAACCCTAAAATAAGCAAGTTTACAATAATACCCCGATATCAATACAATTATGTTATAAACGATTTAGAACTTATGATCCTGTCCAAGAGCTAGGTCAGAATATAAGGATTTCAATAAGGTCATGGTCATCTTTTAAACAGAAACAGATTTCTTTTTTGATTCTTCGTAATTCTCTCTTTTTTATATAAAGGTTGATACTAGTGACCTCACCAGGATTTTTTTCCAACAGGTTGCAAATTCTAATTTTACATATTTTGGTAAACATTTTCACCATTTTGATAGGGTGCAAACACATTTTCAACTGGAACTGCACTAAAGTGTTAAATTTTCAACAGTGGCCAAGAAAGTGCCAAATTTTTCAACAGTGTCCAAGAATGTGTCAAATTTTAAACACAGTGCCCAAGAAAGTGTCCAATTTTAAATGACTGTAGTATTTTTCTTCAGTGCTGCACAATTTATACTCATATTGGTAGTAGGCTAGGTCAGGGTCAACCAAACTGAACTCCATTATACAGTGCACATTGTGTTAATTGTTGGCTGTATCCCATCCAGTTAAATTGTTGATTGTGGGGTATATCTGAAAGCAAAGGAAAATCAAAAGAAAGTGTTTTGAATCAAGTACCAAATATTAAAAACAGGAAAAATGAAATTGTTTTTCACTTGACAAAGGTGTAATTTTAAAGTTAGAAAAAGTCAAAATTATGCAAATACAGGTGATTCTACTTCTAAAAGAATTTTACAGTTAATAAAACCTTTATTAACACAATGATTCCAACAACATAAAGGAAATTTGATATTAAATAATCAAAAATACACCAAGGACCTCAAAGTAATATGAATTGAGATTCGCAGCTTATTTGATCAGTTATCAAAAGACGTCACAAGAAAGGTTTCATCGCAAATAAAGGAATAAAGGGTTCAGAAACTGTTTGGTACAACACAATGAAAAGTTGCTGAAATATTTGATTTTGTCTCAATTTGAAGCACAGTCAAGGTTATGGTGGCCAAATCTTGCACATTGATCCTGATTTACCAATACAAAGGAATATAGCAACGCAAGAGTTGATATTGTATTCCGACCAGTGAAAAGGTGTAAATATTTTCACAATTTATTGAATTTGTATTATTGTGTGTATTTGAAGAATTAAAGGAATCGAGCTAAAGGGGTACACAATAGCAGGTTCATTGACTTAAGTCAGACTTCATACCAACTGGGAAAATATCTAAAGACAGACTGAAAGCATATTCTGAGTGATTACTTGGGGGAGAAAACATATACTTCTGTAATTACTTAGAAAGAAAATGGATTCAACTGACATCTAAAAACAAAATCTGCCACATACTTTAAGGATTTAAGAAACTAAGGCAACATTTGGAAACATTCTACTTATCATTTTTCAGGTAGGAATGCCAAAGATTTTTTGAAAAATTAAAAAATTCAGTTTTCTTACATATTGGAAAAATAGGAATTATCAATTTTACTACATCAAACCACAGATCCGTTTTTTTGATACCAATTATTAAAATAATATACTTCATTGGTGTTGTTTAAGTCTAATTGTTTTGTATTTGGAGTTGATTTGTTATTGTTTTGTTATTGGTGCTGTTATCAATTTAATTTGTTTTGTTACTGGACTTGTTATTTTGATGGAGTTATTTTGTTATTTGTTTATTTTGTCACTGAGAGTTCCAATGTATTAATAATTTGAGGAAATCAAAAAGAAAACCCCCGAAAACTACTTCATGCAAAGTAACCTACATGAAACCACTGTATCTATCTTGTTATAAATAATTAATATAGTGCATGTACAATTTGACCATGTCATTAATCTTATTAGGCCACAGAAATCAAACTTTATGTTTAAGCTCCGTTTTTACTTCGGTAATAGGTTGAGAAGATGATATGTTATTTTCCTAAAGGTAACTTAAAAGAACATGTTTCTGAATATAACAGAATATAAAATTCATGAGAATCAGATTTTATTTTCCATTAAAATTGTAATGCCAGATCCTTATGGTGTATAGTGTAAAATAAATATAGGAAGATATGACGCTAAACATTACACCTGCATTTATTTGCCTTAGCCTTGCTGATTAGAACTACAGTAATTACTCAGAATCCCCAGGTGATCATCATTAGGCGCATTAGGTTCATATTAAAGTCAAACTACAAACAAATTTCACTGGTGTTCACCTCCAAATTCTGTAATCCACAGATTCATAAAAGTCTAGTGTTCTTTCTCAGAATTCACTGCATTTCTCAAAATTTTTAGTTTGGGGATTTGAGAATATATGTAAGATATCTCAGACCTTTTAAGAGTTTTTAAGAACAATTTCAGTAGATATCAGAATATGGTAGAAGTTTTTTTGTTGATTTTTATTGTTCAGCATAAAGTGGTTTTGCAGATGACCATAAATTAAAAGATACTGTTTTTTAATTGGTTTCTTGAATTTCATTAACCCTTTTGAAGAATGGTATTCTGCATCTTTATCCTCGGTGTACTTAGTAATTGGTTCTAGTTCCGGTGTGCCTCAGGGTATAATATCATATTTTACTTCTATGACTGCAGATTAACTAAATCTCACTTTCTTTCATAATTTCAGAGCTATAAATAAAACTGCAGATTAAACTCATTAGTGCCACATAGGTCCAAATTGACACTAGATCAAGTTTTTTCTCCTAGAGTTCTTAATTCTCAATGCCATGTGCATAAAATAGATAAATAGAAATTTACAAATAAACCAATATATCAAAGCATTTGCTCATCGAGTTTGAACCATTTAATCTTTTGGCAGGGTAGCTTTATGTTACTTGTCAAACATAATTAACTAATAATTAATAAAATAGGTAAAATTTTTCACATTTATGTGGATATTTATACATAATGTGTAGGCCAAGAATACGCAAGCAAATGTGAAAAATATTTACCACTCTTACCATAATCATAAAAATGACTGTAAAAAAATTCTAGACATTCTGATCTACCTAAAGTCACTGTGTACCCTAATAAGTAAATAAAATGTACTACCAAAACTTGTAAATCTAGTAAAATTGGGAACTAGATTGTTACATGCAATCAAGGTCAACAGTAAGGGCAGTCAACCTGCTGTGAATCAGAATAACCCTGACCTTGATTCTCATTGAGGATTACATGATTGACTATGATCGATTGAATGTTTGAGTTTACTAATTAGTTATCAAGTTATAAAATACAAGCCAAAAACAGTTGTAAACTACAAGAACTAAAAATATGTAGCACTAAGTGACAATTTATCGTAGCATGAACAAACAATGAAAAATGGTATCATTATAAACATTGAAATGGACGAGGGCTTTCCAAAAGCTCATGCATGAGCAAAGAACTTACATGCACTGTTACAATAATCCTTTAGAAATCACATCAAAATGCTTTCATCTTATATTAGGATAACTTTAAGTATGGAGAAATTACGATTTATCACAGATATTGTGCTTGGATAATAAAGTAAAGAAAATTTCCGCTGCAAAATTACATCTCTATTATTCCACAGTAAGTGTACACAGAAAATTTCTATTTTTAGACCCAATCTATCAACCTTAGTAGCTATTATATAGAGCCAATGCAACAACTAAAATTAGAAACAAAAACTTTTTTAACCTCTGATGTCTAACCTAGATTTTGAGAGCAATGAACCCTGGATGCTCTAAATATTTTAAAACATGTGGTTAAATTTCATCATGTTCCTTCAAGAGAATAACTAGTTCACGCAACTGTTCATCATTCAAGAACATTTTAATATTTATGTAGCTATGCATCAAGATTTTTGACCAATCAGAATAGAGAACATCCATTCATGGTCTCATGAATGGGTCCAATGAACGATTTTGACTTGATTTTTTGTTACCAAGTTTGATGACATTGATCTTCAATATCTCAAATTCTAGGCAAAATTTGTCTAAAGATAGCAAAAGGCTTCAGGCAAAAATATTAAAGTGAAGTGTCGCTTTGAGAAACTTTAAGAAAACTTCGATTTTACCTAAATTTTTACTTTTGACCTAGATGACAAACATTTTTGGCCAATGTCCCTGATAGGAGCCTGTTAAAACCTGTCTAAGTGGAACACCTTTGGTGCCTCTAATAAGTGTTCCACTTGGAGGTGTTCCACTTACAGAGGTTCATTGACATTAAGTTAGTTGGTCTTGGGCCGAAAAATGTTCCACTTAGACAGAGGTGTTCCACTTCTAGAGATGCTCCACTAGGTGATCCACTTTAAAGGCCTCATTGTTTGTACTAAAATCCTATTGTCATCTGCTTTAGTTACATGGAGACATAATAAGACTGTGAAAGAGCTAAAAAAAATTTGACCGGTTGAAAATGCTATAGAGCAAATTACTTTATGTTTAGGTACAAAGTGATAAACATTCAACTTGGTAATGACAAATTGCTGCTTGCTTCGCTAAAATCGAACACTCTGCCCTGAGTATTATCCCTACTATAAATATAGTTTAGGTTAAATTAGTTGACCTGTTTGAGGAAACATGAAATCTGAAGGGATGAGCGTGTTGACATAAAAATGTACTTGTTATAGAAAGTAAGTAGATAGTATTATCATATTAACTAAAAGTCATTCTGACCTCCAAGAAGCATGATTCAATTAAGTCTTCCCATCCCCAGTTAAGGTCTCATGGAAGGGGGTCAACCCAGTTGTCCGAAACCCAGTTGTCCGAAACCCAGTTGTCCGAAACCCAGTTGTCCGAAACCCAGTTGTCCGAAACCCAGTTGTCCGAAACCCAGTTCTCCGAAACCCAGTTCTCCGAAAATTAAAAAATTAAATTTCTTAGTAACGAATCTTGTCGCAACCTCGCGAATCAGGACAGCATAACATTGGTATCACGTTGACATCGGTAAGCCCGGTCAATAATGGGTCCGAAAGTTCACGATCATATATATATTCTTACTAGATTCTCGGCACATAGACTTATATGGACATTCTACAAATTTTGAACCGCATTGTCCAGCACGAATCGCACTCCTTCTTGGTGAAAATTCAAGACTGCCGCCAACATTTTAGACAATTATCACAGTCGAAGAGAATATTCTGGCGAAAGGAATATCTATCTCATTAGAATAACGTATGGACGTCCGTGACAATTATATAATATTCATTTGATAATTTTTTTCATTCCCTTTTCTCAATAATATATATTAGATTAATTATGTTTTCCAATATCAATTGATAATATTTCTACCCTGAAAAATATCTAAAAAGAAGATTTTGGTTGTTCAGTACCACCCATTGTTAAGATTTCGTCCAAATTTTCGATAAATCAATAAAATATGCTCATTTCGTATAACTTATTATATGTGGCATATATACATATCAGATGTCTATCCTTTTTTCATCATAATATAAGAGGCTTGTATGTTTTAGTAGAAACGTAAATCCTTTCCAAACATTTAGATTTAAGAATTTCTCCCATTGGTGATATTGTTCAAAATCAAAACTGTGTTTTGCGATATATTGAACTGTTGAAGTAAGTGTGTAATAGTTTGGAATTTTCATGCGAATTGCGTATATGTCACGCAATCGTTCGTATTGTCTTTAGTCTTCACTTTTTTTGTGGATGGTGTTCGGCAGTTGGCATTCTGCATTCAGAGACAGCATTCCTTTTTTCTTTTTAAATCATGTATATATTTCTTATTTTATAAATTTGTATACGTCAGGTCATTTTACAATATTGCAATATTTTTTAAAATAGATACAATTGCAATTATTTAAAACATCATTACAATAGTTTACAAATATAATGTAACATAAGTTGTTTAACCATTCATCAAAATAAGTATACTTAGTGTCTTGTACCTTATAGCCAAAGACAAGAGTTTTATACTTTTTCAAGCTTAATTCAATTTTAAAATCATCTAAAATATAATTTTCAAGTGGGTCTATTACATTAGTAGGCCTACTCTATGATACTGAAAGAACAAATGTTTAAAGTATTCTACTTGTCTGCAAATATCACACTTGTCATTAACAATTATTTTCCATCATGATCTTAGGAGTCACTGGCGAACCCAGAAAAAAGCTTAAAAAGACCCTTTTGGTCAATACTGGGCCTTTTAAGGCCTTATTTTTCAATTTCAAGCCAAATTTTGAAGAAACGGTCCTCAAAATTTTGGCCAACTTTTGGGTTTTAGGGAAGTTTTTTCTCTGATCTGAATTTGCCCCCCTTGTTGGTTCCCAGATCCGCCCCTGGAAGTAATTGTTTGCATGGTAGAATGTAATGTAAAAGTTTGTATTTGAAATTGGCCACTTTTTTATTTTTGGATTGCTTTAAAAGTATCCAAGTATGTTGAAACAGCATTTGACTATTTTGAATTTCACATTTCAGATTAATTCAAAATGATTCCAAATATGTT